TATGGCCCCCACGTGCTTGTATGCATGCCTGACAACATCGGGGCATGCTCTTAATGAGACAACGGATGGTGTCCTGGGGCATTTCCTCCCAGATCTGGATCAGGGTATCACTCCTGGACAGTCTGAAGTGCAATCCAACGGTGTCAGATGGACCACAACGTGATATCCCAGAGCTGTTCTATTGGATTTAGGTCAGGTGAGCATGGGGGCCATTCAATGGTATCAATTCCTTCATCCTCCAGGAACTGCCTGTTAACTCTCACCACATGAGACTGGGCATTGTGCACCAGGAGGAACCCAAGCACCAGCGTAATGTCTGACAACAAGCATTTCATCCCAATACCTAACAGTCAGGGTGCCATTGTCAAGTCTGTAGAGGTCTGTGTATCCCTCCATGGATATGCCTCCCCAGATCATCACTAACCCACCACCAAAACGGTTATGCTGAATGATGTTACAGGCAGCATAATGTTCTCCACGGCTTCTTCAGACCCTTTCACATCTGTCACATGTGCTCAGGATGAACCTGCCCTCATTTGTGAAAAGCACAGGGTGCCAATTGGCGGACCTGCCAATTCTGGTGTTTAATGGCAAATACCAATCGAGCTCTATGGTGCTGGGCACAGGGTCCATTAGAGGATGTTGGGCCCTCAGGCCACCCTCATGAAGTCGGTTTCTGATTGTTTGGTCAGAGATATTCACACCATTGGCCTGCTGAGGTCATTTGGAGGGCTCTGGCAGTGCTCATTCTGTTCCTCCTTGCACAAAAGGAGCAGATATCGGTCCTGCTGATGGGTTGAGGACCTTCTATGACCCTGTCTAGCTCTCCTAGAATAACTGCCTGTCTCCTGGAATCTCCTCCATGCTCTTGAGACAGTGCTGGGAGACACCGCAAATCTTCTGGCAATGGTACGTATTGATGTGCCACCTTGGAGAAGTTGGGCTGCCTGTGCAACCTCTGTAGGGTTCAGGTATTGCCTCATGTTACCAGTGGTGACACTGACCCTAACCAAATACAAAACTAGTGAAAAACAGTCAGAAAAGATGATTAGGGAAACAAATGTCAGTGGCCTCCACCTGTAAAACCATTCCTGTTTTGGGGATTGTGTTATTGCTGCCCATCTAGTGCACCTGTTAATTTCATTAACACCAAAGCAGAAGAAACTGATTAACAACCCCCTCTGCTACTTAGCTGACCAGATCAATATGCCAGGAGTTTAATTGACTTGATGCTATACTCTGATTAAAAAGTGTTCCTTTCATTTTTTTGAGCAGGGTACAAGGTCTGGTATGAATTTCATAGAGGATCGCCATAAAAAAACAAAAAAAACAAAACACCACATGAGAGCTCATGGGACTTATTACATTAATACAGAGGGTCCAACTGGGCTTAAAGAGGACCTCATATACATTTTACTTAAAGTGGAAGTAAATGCTTCTGTAAAAACCCACAGAAAGGCAGGGTTTTTTTTTTTTTTTTTTGTTTTTTTTTTTTTTAACAGAAGAGACCCTAGGAGGTATTTTCTGTTATAAATGCTCAGGACAGTAAGGGCTCATTTACATGTGTGGTTTTGGGAGGGGGGGGGGGGGGGGGGGTGCGGTAAAACCCATAGTTTATTGTGGCCCGCAAATAGTTACCAAATCACTTAAGTGGCCCTTGCTCTTCGAAAGGTTGATCACCCCTGATATAAAATAGAATATAAAAAAAAAAAAAAAAAAAAAAAAAGACCAGCAACCATTCTAGCCTCACTTTGAAACGTTCTTTCCTCTAAAAAGCGTTACTTTTAAATCTTGCCGGATGGTTCTAAGGCAGCAAATTCCATTCTCTGTAAAGGCAGTGTGCTTCACATTACCCGTTTACAGTTCTTTATACTACAAAGGGCTCTCACTTCTGAAATCAAGGACTTGTAATGTGTCTGTGCTTGGCACCTGGAGACAGGACACAAGCTGCTTCATCAAACTCTACTATAAACTTAAACTAATGCAGGCCACATAAATACGGCCGATTTTTCTTTTAAAAAATGAAAAATCGGTCGTTCAAGCAGCCGACGTTACCAGCAATGGTAAAAAAAAAAAAAAAAAAAAAAAAACGGCCGATTTTCATCCCGTCTACAGCCGGCAAAAAGTGTCCCTGCAGAGAGCTCTGCTATTTCTTTGACAGTTCCTTGACATTTACAGAGGTTGCAACATTGTATCTATTTGTATCCATTTAGGATACAGATGTTTTTATTCGGAAACAAATAGATACATTGTTGCAACCGCTGTAAATGTCAAAGAACTGTCAAAGAAATAGCAGAGCTCTCTGCAGGGACACTTTTTGCCGGGCTGGAATTCCTCTTATTTTTCATTCTTCTTCTTCCTCATCCTCCTCTTCTTCTTCTTCCTCTTCCTCATCCTCCTCTTCTTCTTCTTCCTCTTCCTCATCCTCCTCTTCTTCTTCTTCTTCTTCTTCTTCCTCTTTCCTCATCCTCATCCCTTCTTTCCTCCTCCTCATCATCATCCTCTTCTTTATTTCCTCCTCATCATCATCCTCTTCTTCTTCCTCCTCATCATCATCCTCCTCTTCTCCTTCCCTCATCATCATCCTCTTCTTCCTCCTCCTCATCATCATCCTCTTCTTCTTCTTCCTCATCATCATCATCATCCTCTTCTTCTTCTTCCTCATCATCATCATCATCCTCTTCTTCTTCTTCCTCATCATCATCATCATCTCTTCTTCTTCTTCTTCCTCATCATCATCATCATCATCTCTTCTTCTTCTTCCTCATCATCATCATCCTCTTCTTCTTCCTCATCATCATCATCCTCTTCTTCTTCCTCATCATCATCATCCTCTTCTTCTTCCTCATCATCATCATCATCCTCTTCTTCCTCATCATCATCATCCTCTTCTTCTTCCTCTTCTTTTTCTTCTTTTTGTCTTCCTCTTGCAGGTCACTGCTCATGCGCAGATTTTGTATCGGTAAAAAAATCGGCCGATTTGCCCATTATTGCCGCGAAAATCGGCCGATCGGCAAAATCGGCTGATTTTTTTTTTCCAACTTTACCGATTAAAAAAAAACTGCCAAAATACCGAAAAAACGGCCAAACAAATAGCCCACTAACGATCCGAAAATCGGCCAATTTTATTTTCGCGCCGAAAAATCTGCCGATTTTCGACCCATCTATGGCCTGCATAAGCCTCACTCTGCTCCACAATACATTAGACTTGAACATGTTGCAGTGCCACCTAGTGTTCACAGCATAATGCATAAAGGAAAAAAACAGCCAGTAAATGGCAGTAAGTGTTCCTTGATGCCTATGATGTCAGTGGTCCGATTTCACTGCACCTCGGAAAGGTTCGAAATTGAACACAGAAGTAAAAAGCATAACAAATGGTTAAGCTTTCAATAACTGCCTGGAGTTTTCAGGATTAAGAAAAGAGTTTTAAATTTTTTTTTTACTCTTCTCCGGGGGCAAAGGATTGAGGATTTAGTTGTGCACCTGGAATTCAGCTGAGAAATTAAAAAAAAAAAAAATACTAATAAAAAGGAGATTATGGGGCTGCATTCAGACTATATCCAGCTGGTTACCAACCAAAAGATATACACAATGGTAAAAAAAAAGCTTCTATGGGGTTTGTTCCATTGTAAAAATATGAATACGTGGCCCAAGAATACTGGTGTAATGTAACGCTGTACTTTACAGCCCTCCCACTAAATGTATACATCCTGCCTGGAGTTTGCATATTCTCCCTGTGCCTGCATGGGTTTCCTCAGGGTACTCCGGTTTCCGCCAACACTCAAAAGAAACGCTGGTAGGTTAATTGGATCCTGTCTAAAACTGGCCCTAGCATGTGCTTACCAATTAGATGCCGTCCAGCCCATGCGGTCATCGATGCAAGGAGAGAGCTGCGAGGATTTCAAATCCCCAGACCTGTGAAGCAGCTCTCTCCTCTCTGCATGCAGAAATTACAGTACGGGCTGGACGGCATCTGATCTAACAGCATTTGGTATGGCCGCAAATTGCACCACAAAGTATCGGTATTATGTATCAGAGTACTTGACCAAAAAGTACCGGTACTCATACTTACCGATATTAAAAAAAAAAAAAATTTTTTTAAAAAACGTATCGGTGCATCCCTAGTGTACATGTGCAGGTAGTCCAATGAATGCCAACTGGGACATAGCCGCTGCTCTCAATCTGTCATCTGAGGGGGTGCATGTTCCCAAACTCACACTATGTTCTGAGACATGGACCCACATGGATGCAGCTATCTGCTGACATGAATGGGACTGCCTGCATGCTGATGAACAGGACAACTGTGCATCCCAATGCGGGCAAACACAGCGCTTGCATGGGTGTACGTTGAAGTAGGGTCATGCGAATGCCTTACAGAAAATTAAAAAAAAAAAACAAAACACATTCAGGGCAACTAAAATTTATCTTGCAGCTAGCACACTTTGGTGTGCTGGAGTCCATGTCCCTTAACCTCCCTAGCGGTCTGATTATGTCCATATTTCTCTGCTCAAAGCGGTACATTTTTTTGCATTGAAATATGTATTTTTTTTTTATTGTAGGCCTGTAATTTTTTAGGAATAAGTCACTGAAATCTGTCTGAACTAGAGTCTAGTAAACATCCTGGGTATGATAAAATTTGAAAAACGAAATCATAAATTATAATTTAATAAATAATCATAAAAAATAATAATATATAAAATAATAAATTTAATTCAATAATATAATCAAACCAAAAACACTGAAATTTGAAATATAGCGCCAAGTTCGCACATGACTAAGTCGCAAAATCGTTTTCAGTGTCTGATGACGAATTTCCCCACGAACCATTATCACTCAATTCTGCAAGTGGTTCTGATTTACTATCGCTGTTCTCTAGCTGGTCTAAAACCGATTTTGACCTAAAAGGGACACTTTTTGGACGCCATGGTCATTTCTCAGTTTCCAGGCAATAAGAATAGTAAAAATGCAGGCAGGGCACAGGACAAAGCACTAGGGACAAAATGTATGAGAAATGGTTTGATACAGTAATGTTTTACTGTGTGATTTTAGTGTATTTAGTCAAGATCACTTTTTGTCATTTTCAAATTTCCCGCCAGTTCCGTCCCCGTACGTCCCGACGCTCGCAGGGGACGGAACTCAGATCACAGATGCCGGCATCCGCCGGATTACATTGCCGGGGACACTGCAGGAGGGACATCGTGGGAGCGCAGGACAAGGTAAGTGAAGAACAGATGCCGGTGCAGCGCCGCATGGTAAGCCCAAGTGTAGCTCGGGGTTACCGCTTTTGGTACTGAAACTTTACCCCGAGCTACACTCGGGAATACCGCCAGGGAGGTTAAACACTCTGCAGTTTCTGCACCTGACCCCTATGTCACTATGGAGCTTAGCAGGCACACAGTATGCACAGTGCAGGAGCCAAGGGGGGTGTGTATTATTCCCCTAATCTGCAGGGAAAACTATAAAAATGACTATCACTTTCAAGTAGCATTGGAGTAGATCTAAAAAGGCAAAACTTTTTTGCTTTTTTTATTTTGGATAGACTAGAGAAGGGTTATAATCCCTGACAGTTTTTTTTTCTGTGTCCTATTGGGGAGATTTACCTTCACACTCAGTTCCATAACCAAAACAAGGAGTGAAAATCCAAGTTGTCACAAGGGTCACCAGAACTATTGCACCCACTGGAAGAGGTCTCCTTTTTACTGTTCTGGAGGCAACTAGAAATTTGAGATTCTCTCACTTTCAATGGTAATTGTAAACATGACAAATCGAGAGGGTGAATCTCCCTAAAACGGGCAGAGAGGGCAATAAAAACAGATGTCCTAATCCCTCTCCACTCTGTACAAAACTTTAAAATAAAAAAAAAAAAAGTTTGCACGTTCTCCCTCTGCCTGCATGGACTTCCTCCCACACTCCAGCGACGTCCTGGTAGGTTAATCGATTCCTGTCTAAATTGGCCCTAGTATGTGTATGTATGAATGTTAGGGACCTATGCACTCTTTTTGAGGGTTAGGGAATGTATATATATATATATATATACATATACATATACATACACACACATATACATATACATACATACACACACACACACATATATATACACACACACACACACACACACACACATATAACACATTATATACACACAGTTGTGCTCAAATGTTTGCATACCCTGGCAGAAATTGTAAAACTTTGGCACGGATATTGAAAATATGACTGATCATGCCAAAAAAATGCTCTTTTATTGAAGGATGATGATCATATGAAGCCATGTATCAAATAATTGTTTGATCGATTTCTGTTATTATGACTTAAAAAGGAGCCAAAATGGTCATGATCAAAAGTTTACATACCCTGGAATGTTTGGCCTTGGTACAGACATACAAGTTGACACACACAGGTTAAAATGCCAATTAGAGGTTAATGTCCCACATCTGTGGCTCTTTAACCACTAGCCTACAGGGCACTTATACCTCCTTCCTGTCCAGGCCAATTTCCAGCTTTCAGTGCTGTTGCACTTTGAATGACAATTGCGCGGTCATACAACATTGTACCCATATGAAATTTTTATAATTTTTTGGTGACAGAGCTTTCTTTTGGTGGTATTTAATCACCTCTGGGTTTTTCATTTTTTTGCTAAACAAACCAAAAACAGCTGAAAATTTTGAAAAAAAAAAAAAAGAAGAGTTTTCTTAGTTTTTGTTTTAAAATTTTGTAAAATTTCTCCTTCACTGATGTGCGCTAATGAGGCTGAACTGATAGGCTGCACTGATGGACACTGATAGGTGGCACTGATAGGCATTGACAGGCATCCCTGATGGGCAGTGGTGTAATTAGGTTTCATGCTGCCCTAGGCAACACAAAAATCGGCTTCCCCCCCCTCCACGGAGAGACCCTGACCAACACCCCCCTCCCCCACAAAGAGAGCTTGACATTGACCAAAAACACCCCAGCCCCCCCAACCCCCACTCGAGAGAGCATTCCACTACCACCGCCCCCCATACACTGGCAACACCCCCCCACCCCAGCAAGAGAGAAGACACTCACCTTCACAGCTCCAGACATCCCCGGGAACAAGAGTCAGGCTCTGCATACACCATCAAGCAGCCCGCGGCCTCTCTCAGATCCCACCTGGTCCCCATGCTGTGTGTGTCCCTTCTTCCATCCCTTCTTTCGAGGGGATGCGCTGCACCCCTGAAAAATGCCGCCCTAGGCAAATGCCTTGTGGTAAATACACCCCTGCTGATGGGCAGTGAAAGGCAGCATTCATATATAGCACTGATAGGCAGCACTGACTGGCACTGTTAGGCGGCACTGATAGGTGGCACTGACTGGTACTGATAGGTGACACTAAAAGGCAGCTCAGATGGGCACGGATATGTGGCATTGATGGGCACTGATGGGCACTGGCAGGTGGCATGCATGAGCACTGAGAGCTGGCACTGATGGAAACTGACAGGTGGCACTGCTGGGGCTACACAGATCATCAGGGCACACTGATCATCAGTGCTCTGATGATCTATGTGCATGTCCCCTCTGAGGAATACCAATTACCGGCTCTCCTCTCCTCACGAGCTGTCAGCGTGACAGCTCGTGGGGAGAGAAATGCAGATAATTGGCATTTCCCTGTTTACATGTGATCAGCTGTGACTGGACACAGCTGATCACATGACCGAGCCGACATCTTCGGCTCTTTCCCTGGATCAGTGATCCGCTGTGTCCGAGGGACACAGCGTAGCACTGATCGCCGCGCTCGCGCCTTTAGAATGGGAGGATGTCATATGACGACCTCCCAGAACTAGAGAACCGCCTTGCGTCCGTCATTTTACTATATGCCGGGCAGGAGGCGGTTAAATTGCAATTAGTGTCAGTGTATAAATAGTCAATGAGTTTGTTATCTCTTACGTGGAAGCACTGACTAGGCTAGATACTGAACCATGGGGATCAGAAAAGAACTGTCAAATGTCCTGTGTAACAAGGTAATGGAATCTTCTATAAAGATGGAAAAGGACATAAAAAGATATCCAAAGCCTTGATTATGCCAATCAGTACTGTTAAATCACCTATTAAGAAGTGGAAAGTTCGGGGATCTCTTGATACCAAGCCAAGGTCAGGTAGACCAAGAAAGATTGCAGCCATAACTGACAGAAGAATTGTCCGGGATTTAAAGAAAAAACCCACACACAACCTCAAAAGAAATACAGGCTGCTCTGGAAAATGATGGTGTGGTTTTTAAGGAGTACAATATGGTGATACTTGAACAAAATGTCTTAATTTGCAAAAATAAGCACCATAAGATGCCACCAGCACCAATATTAAAGACAAAATCAGTGTCACGAATGAACTGCATCTGCGGCTGGCCGTGGCAGAGAGTCAGTTGCAGTGAGTGGAGGGTGAGAGATCCATACTCTGACAGATTCCAGGCTGGAATTCCCAGGCAATGGGGGAAGGTACACTGACAGCAGACAGCCCAGCCCACAACCACACCCACAGAACACCTGAACTGAGCAATCCCACACAGTGATAGAGCCAACACAACGCACCACCACCAACACTGACACAGATAGCAGGCATTAGAAGAGCAGGCTGTGGGATCGTGATGATGTCATCACTCACCAACACATTGCACATGTAATGGATGGCCAGGCAGCTGGGTCATACTCACACAGAAACGAGACATCAGAGTCAGACATGATCTTCCTCCACAGGTCCAGCTATGCCTCTGCTGATGAATGGGTAGAGAAGGGCTAAAACTCCACAATGATCAGCAGCCACCAGCTGGCTTACAGTAAGAGACTGAGTCTGAGAGGAAAACTAGAAGGAGCTGTAAATCAGCTGCTACACTGGCCCCAAACATCCGGCATCTTCTTCTGTCCTTTCTTCCTCCCCTCTGTTCCCCCTCCCCTCAGCTTTAGGATCATTTATGACGTGGCGGCATGCCACACAGAGAGAGTGCTGGCTTGTGCCAGGTGCCGCTAGGTGGCCGTGTGCCCTAAGTGGCTGCCTAGTTTGCCTAGTGGAAGCACCGGTCCTGCCACTGAGAGCACAGTACACGTTTGCCCCCATTCTAGGCCTGTTCATGTTAGCTTTATATTAGGTCCCTGCATACACCCTGTCCTGGACTGAAGTGCGCACCCCAGTCAAATCAGAGTAGTCACGTGACTGCCCCATCAAAAGCGTCATAACAAGGCACATGTGCGCCCCTCAAGCATGCAAGCAAGCGTGACTGCACTGGACCCCTCAAATGCAGTGGATTCACTTACAAGATGCAACCGGGGATAAGGGAAACCTCCGAGGCAGAATGAAAACAAGTGACAGACTGCAGAATGAAAGCAAACATGGAAAGTCCTGCTGTATGCTGCTATATATTACATTTCACATTGAGGATTTAACACCATTTTAAGCCAGAGTGAAACACCTAGTGCAGTAACCCTAAAAACTCCAACAGGAATGCTGTATTCCACACAACCGGCTGTATCATGTTTTACAAATTCTAGGAGAAGAAATGAGCAAACTACTGTAGAAAGGATTGTGGGAAATCTAATGTGAAAACAGAATACTGTGTTGTGGATGCCAGAGTGATTCTTTTCATTTCAATTATAAACATTTTTGTTTAGCTATTATATTACATGTCATTTTTCAATGACACTGCAGTTTTCCTGTAAGTTAGAAAATTAACTTGTTTTGAAGTAATTAAAGTTTCTCATTTTAATTAATGAAACATGCATTCCTGTTTTATTTTACTTGGAATTCTGGCGTTTCCATAGAAACCTCTAATGCCAAATTCATGAAATGCTAGGCCCAATTCATCGACTGTTTGATTATATTGTATTTCCCATATGTCACAACTGGTGAGGAAGCAAAAAAATTACAGTGTAAGTAAACCGGCTTAAAAACATAAAAAGCCTATTTTTTTTATATGGAACAGAACTTAATGGAATCATTTTTCTGTAGAGAGGTGCAATTAACAACAACCAGCAAATGCTAACCTGCCGTATATGCAATGTAAGGTCATTCACAGACCTCATACAATAGAAAGCAGAATGCTTATTAATGGTTCACAGCAGCAAAAGGCCCAATACAATATTAATCTAAAATCAGCTTATTGATGAATTGCAAAGGATTCCAACATAGACACCTTCATTTTAAACCAGCTGATCTATCCAGCTACATCACAGGAAATTGAAGATTGTGGTATCGTTTTGCTTCTAAACACAGTTTAGCCCAGTGGTTCCTAACTTATGAGTTTGTGGGGGCCTCAGCTGTGTCCCTGACATCACCAAAGGACCAAAAATAGGGATCATTTAGACTTGGGGGGAGGAGTTAAAATGTGTGT